GGCTGGTCTAATGGTGGTACCAGCTGGGCGGCATAATCCTCGTACGTAGCACGAGAATCAGCGACTAACGCATGCTCCCCGGTAGTGACATCGATTGCTAGCAAGGCAACCGGGTCCGGCGGAGTGAGGAGAGACGTCGCCCCTCTCCTTGCGTAACTCAGTTTCCCGAGTTGGCTGGACGGGGTACGCGTGCCTTGCCCTTGTCCGGGCATTGTGCGGTAGTGTGTACTACACTGTTGCACCAAAGGCAGTATTCGTACTTCTGACGTAGGTCATAGACCTCCTTGGTGATCTGATAAGCCGTCCATGGCTGCTGCCCATCTCCCGTCGCCGCTGTCTCTTGTGTCGCCTTGTTCTTGCGAACTCTCTTCGGATGCTTCGGCGGGAGCGCTGCGACAATTCCTCCATCACTCGAGGATGCTGCTGCAGCGTGGTGGTCGTCGATTTCCTCAGAAAACACAGCATTGTTATGTGCCGGACGTTGATAGGCCTACTTAGCCACATAGTGCGGCTGGGATTGTCTCTCGTTAGCGACCTTGTCGTCCGTTTGGATGACCAAGTTCGCTCGATCCAGAATGGCCTGGAATGTGGTATAGTCGTACTCATTACCGAGTGCCGACCGCAATCCCGCGCACGATCGCGAGAAGAACTCGGATCGTTGATTTGGAAACGTCAAGTCGAAGCCTGGTGTGGTCACTATCTTTTGCCACTTCGTTGTCCAATCTCGAGTTGGCATGTTCCCTTGAGAGCATGTGTACACCTCATTCATGGTCGCCTTCACGACATTGCGGACCATGAACCGGGTGAACCATAGCTGCTCGAACTCCTTCCACGTAATGTGCGTGTCGAGTTCGGCGATAGTGCACTTGTGTGTAGCCGCTAGGTGGTTCATCCATCCCTGCGCTCCTCCAATCAGCTGCAGATATACTGCCTTCAACATGTCGTCCGCCGGGACCATGCGGCATGATGCTTCCGTGAGGAAGCGTTGCCACCATGACAAGGCGTCCGATTTGTTGTAATCGTCGAACTTGCTGATGTCAAAGTGCGGCATCTTGAACGTCTTTGTAGCGGCTTCCGGTCTCGTGTAGCTTGGTGATGTCCGTCTTGATGGCGGCCACCGTGCTGCTGATCGAGTCTGGTCCGTTGAAAGTACTTATGTCGCCGATGATGGTGACGACGTGATCGATGCGCTCGTTGAGTTGCTTCGTCACGTCTGTCGTGCAGCCTGGCGCTGCTGAGGTGTTAGCCTCTATGCTGTTGACGCGTGTGATAGTGGAATTCAACAGCTGATGCTGTTGCTGCTGCTGCGTTGCCTCTGTGCGGATAGCAGATGTTAACGCAGTCATATCGTTCTTGTATGTTTGTCGCTGCGTCGCGTCCGTGCGCAGATGTGAATGCAGCAGTGTATTATTCCACATAATACCTCTCATCATGCCCAGCAGCAAGTTAGCCAGGTTACTTCTCTCTGCCTCCGCCGGTGTCGGGTCTGCCTGCGCTTCCGTAGGCACAAAGATCATGTCTTGGAGTATCGTCGTCCACTGATGCTCACAAGCAATCAAGGACTCCGTGCTGCTGGCATTCCGTCTGTCTCGTGTCGCTGCGTCAGTCTCAGTCGTTCGCTGAGCTTCGCCTGCCGCTTCATTGGCTAGCCGCTGACGTTCTGCCTCTGCTGTCTCCTTCCGGGCCTCGACGGCAGCTACGGCTTCCGTAAATGCCAGTAGCCGCCCACGATAATCAGCCGCTGGCTCATTGGCTCCTCGGACTGGGTATGCGGGATGATCTCCGGTGGCGTCTTGTACCGTCAATGCCGTACTTGATGCTGCTGGAGTCGTCCGCCTGCTGAGTTTCTTCGGTCTTGGAGGTACTGCAGGGCGGGCACGAACTGCGATTCTGGCACTGCGTCGTGGCAGTGCCCCGGTGTCCTGTTCCGTCGACATCAGTCTGAACCGATGCGGTACTTGAGAAGTCCCGGTAGTCACAGAACACGGGGGGTAGGGAGAGTGGGAACAGGGGTAGAACAATCAAGCAATATACATACAATCCCCTGTCCCACTGATGGACTGTAGACACCTAATCAAACGGAAGAAATTAAATTTCCCGAAAAACCTTCAAAAAAAAAAAAAAAAAAAAAAAAAATCGTAATAAGGAATTAATAACGGTTTAATCAATAAAATTAATTAATGATAATTAACGAAATAATTCCGAATGATAATCAGTAAAACAATGTTTGTAATAAAGATAACCAATTAATAAACGAATTTGAAAGGTATTATGATTAGGTCTCTTTGAGATCACTTTTGAGTCCGGGAGTTCACCGTTACTGAGTGAACTACCCGGAAGTTGCAGTTTAAGGGTTAGGTACGGCTTAGTGTGCTAAAAAAATTTTCGGAAAATTTCAGAAGAAAATTGCTCGAATTTTCAAAAACGCGAATTTTTGGGAATTTCCACCGTCAAAATCCGATTTTTAAAAGCCTAAACCTATTTTCGGAATTTCTCAAACAAGGAGAACGAAAAAAAAATTCGCGAAAATTTCGGTCCCAACCCTAATTTCCGCGTTTCGGCGAAATTTCCGGATTTACGGTCCCAAAACGTTCGAATTTCCCCAAGTTGATCTAAAACCAAAGACTTTCGTAACCCTAATTCCAATACTGAAAGACAACGGAAATCTCAAAAGACAATGAAATATAGGATTTACAACAGAATGCCGAAAAACGGAATGCTGAATGGAAATCAGAAAAGCCGAATTTCAAACATGATACTGATTCAACCCTAATTCGTGTAACATCAGAAATCCGAAACTTAATCAAGTATCGGATTAGTACTCAATCAGAACTCAAATAGTAGCATACCGGAAGAAAACAGAAATCCGAATTATAAGTCCGAATATCGATCTGAACGGAAATGCCGAACAAAATAGAATACTGAAAGAGAGAAAAAAAAAAAAAAAAAAAATTGCAACTTTGAACTCGATAGTAATTCAGCGCCGATTTAGAAGATCAAACGTGATAACCTAATTCTAAACGGACTTACCTGGTGAGCAGATCCGTTTTGGTCTGCTCCGATACCAAAACTGTTACATACTTCAATGAGTATGGGCAGAACCAAAGATCAACCAATATAGGATGAGCATTTATGCAGCGGAAGT